GGGGATCAGTGTTGGGGTGCAGGGGGATCAGCATTGGGGTTTGGGGTACAGGGGTGCCAGCAGTGGGGTGCAGGGGGATCAGCTTTGGGCTGCAGGGGTGTCAGTGTCAGGGTTTAGGGCAGAGGGGGGATCAGTGTTGGGGTACAGGGGATCAGCATTGGGGTTTGGGGCACAGGGGGTGCCAGCAGTGGGGTGCAGGGGATAAGCTTTGGGGTACAGGGTTTAGAAGCGGGTGCCGGTGCTGGGCGTCATTCTTACCATGGAAAGGCTTTTGCGAAGCAGAAAGGTTTTCCTTTGCCGTGTTTCTTAAAGCTGGTCAGACTCCGTTCCTGATCCCCCTGTGGCAGTTTGCTCCATTCCCCTGCGGGGCGTGTTGGCTGGCCGGGTTGGACCTTGCGGGAGAGCCTGGGGCTGGCCGTGGGCAGCTAACGTGTTTGCAGAGGGGTTCATGGGACGAGTATGTTTCCAGGAAGCGGCTCAAACATCCCCCCTCTTCTCGCCCCCAGCAAACTGCGCGAGTCCGTTTCTGATCCCAACCAGCTGAAGATCCTGACCGGGGACTGGTTCTGTGATGTCCGCTCCAAGCGGCACCGGCACAATCACTTTGGTTCTGATCTCGTCCGGGCCTCCATCCGCAGGAAGAAGAAACCCAAAGGTAAGAGCTGGGCCAGGGTCTGGCCGCTGGGACCGGTGCCCTAGCTGGGATCTCAGTGCCCGATGGAGGAGAGGTGCCCGCCTGCTCTAGTGTGGCGCTGTCGCCATCTAGTGGCTGCAGCTTGCAGAGAGGCTGGGGTAGGACCCAGCTTTGTCCCATGGGGACGTCATGCCCATGATGCCCCGATTTCAGGGAGCCGGGAATCCGACGCTGGGACGGGACAGGGAGCGGGAGAGGTTGCTTCAGTCCCTTTAGATTTCCATGATCCCTGTGAGCAGGTGAGCGGGATCCGAAGCGCAGTGCCAGCGTGGGGGACCTGGAGGTGATCAGTGAGCCAGCGTCCGAGGAGGAGGGCCCGTTTGAGGTGCCGGATGGTGAGGACAGGTGAGAAGCTTTTTGGCTTAAGAGGCCCAAAGCGGAGAGAGGAGGAGCTGTGTGTATGTGGGTGGGTGGGTGCGTGCGTGGGTGCGTGTGCACGCCTCTTTCCAGTTGTGCGAAGGGAAGGAGTGTGCATCTGTGGGCGTCAGTTTCCTGAGGCCACGCACCCTTTAGCTGTGCGCGTGATGAGAGCAGCGAGCGGGAACGGCTGCAGGCGGTGACTCAGGCTCCGGGAGAGGCGCGTGGAAGGGGCTCATTAGTGGGACGTAGGGAGGGTTTTGTGGGTGCAGGAGAATCTCCGGCTGGAAGCAGGGTTAGTGAGGGACCTGCTGCTGCTTGCATCCTCCCTGCCTGCAAAGCTGGCAGTTTCCTTCCATGGGGGACGGGGGGAGGGACAGGGAGAAATGGATGGGGCAGACAGGAGGGAGGTTGAAACAGACAGCTGGGCTGATGCGGGAAAGAAGCCGAAACGGAGGGGGAGATAAATAAGTGGGAAGCCAGCTAATGGGGGCGGGGAGAGACGGACGGACAGCCCCAGTCGGAGGGGCCCCCCCTTTGGAAGAAGGGTCTGTGAAGAGCAGGGCGGTGCACACACTCCTTGGGGGAGGAAGCCAGACATCTTCGTAGCCTGGAGACTTGTCCAGAAAGACTCATCGTTTTCTCCTCTCGCAGGCTTCCCCAAGAGGCTGCTCATCAGCTCCCCCAGCCCATGGAGACTCAGGTCAGTTGGGCGACAGGGGCTGGATCACTCGATGATTCTGGTCTGTTCATTCCCTCTGGGGCACCTGGCATTGGCCACTGTCGGAAGACAGGACACTGGTCTAGATGGACCTTTGGTCTGACCCAGTAGGGCCGTTCTTATGTTCTTATGGGTCTGGTGACATGGGCGAGTTAGAGGTGTCCTGACAGGAATTCCTGCCCCCGGCCTTGTCTAGTCAGGCGCTCACCAGCAGGGTGGCAGCCCGGGGCCGCGTCTGGGCTTTCGTTCTGTGTTAAATGCCGAAGCGCTGGGGCTGCCCGGTTACAGTCGCAAGAGGCTGGGAAATGCAAAAGCCGGGCTGCCTGCGTGCCTGGCGGCAGGGAAGTAACACACGACGCTGCACATTGAACCGGACAAGCGGGCTCAGAAATGGCTCCAGGCGTCCAACCCGCTGGAGTTACCGTTACTGGCGGGATGGGCCTGGACTTGCCCTTTTCAGACACTTTCAGTCCTTAGCGAGTCTCCATTATCTTTGCAGGATCAAGGGGTTTTGCACTGAATTTCCTTGGTTCCTCTCCCACCGCTCCCAAAGGCAGTGAGTGGGGAAAGACACTGAGCTGATCCAGTGTAGACATTCCAGTGGTCTTTGAAGTTCATCAAGTAGACCTCAGTCCCAGGACGCACAATTAATTCTTCCAGTCAGGGGGTGACCCCGAAGGGTTAATAGTAGAGCTGGGCTCAGATGTGGATCCGGATCGGAGCTTTCCCAGAGTTTGGGGAGCCCGGTTGGGTCCCTCTGTGGCCAGTGCAATGGGTCAGTGTATTTACTGTGATGAAACTCGCGACATTAGAAATAGCACTAAAATTCCAACTAAAATCCTTTAAAGCAGAGGTCCCCAAACTGGGGTGCAGAGGATTGTTCGGGGGCGTGGGGGGGGCCAAGGGCAACCCCCAAGGGGGGCGGGGATGGAGTGCCACCAAACCACACTCCGGGCCCAGGCCCAGCCCTGCCCCCAGCCTGGGCCCCAGACCCTGGCCCGGACACGGCTCTGCTCCTGGCCCCAGACCCGACCCCAGCTGCGGCCCCAGCCTCAGCCCCCTTACCCCTGTCCGCGCCCCCTACCCCGCAAGCTACAGCCCCACTCCTGGCCCTGGCTCTCGGGTGTGTGTGTATGTGGACAAGGATAAGGGGGGCTTGGGCGCGACCGTGAAAAGTTTGGGGACCACTGCTTTGAAGAGTGTAAACTCCACCTCCAGAGCAAACCTTCCTCAGTCTGCAGATTTAAATTACAAAGCAGCTGTTTTGAACATACAAATTATATTGAAAGTGC